TGTCTCCCGCTTTGCTAAGGAGGGAAGTGGATTTCTGTATTTCCAACTCCTCCAATTTTCTTCTGATTAATTTCGTTGCGGGTTCCAAGACAGTTTAATTTCTTCCTGGGACTTCCCGAGTGTCATAACTCGGTGTGTTCGTGGGTCACTGCTGTGGATCCTGGTGTACAGGAGTTACAGTGGTCGGCGTGTGGGTGGGATTAGTCCCATTAACCCGAAGCCTCTGAAGAGGTTGTAATTTGGTTTAAAATTGACAAATTGTTAGATTGCCACTTTCGCAAATGAAAATTCGCTGATGACAAAACAGAAATTACCTCTTTAACCATATCTACCACTTCTGAAATTGAGTTTCCCCCTGAAAGATAGTCATCAACGTAAAAATCACGTTCAATTGAAGACTTGACGGCTTTACTAGTAGCAAATTTAGCTAAACTTATCAAACACTTTGTTGGCATAGGTTACAGTGTGATGGCGCTACTGCCACGGTAAAGATAAACTACGCTTAAAAATATTTAAAAAAATCTTAAAAACGAGTTAGTGTCTATTCTGAATCAAGAATACTGTTCCTATTGCTTCGACTCACTGCAACAATCGTTTGTGAATTGATATACCTAAATTTATAAAAGTTATTAACCTCAACAACTAGTGGAAGATATCAACAAATATAGTTATTATATGTGCACGAAAAATATCTTACAGGGAAGCACCATAGCTAAAATATGAACCTATCAAAAATCAGGACATAATTTCAACGGCAAGAAGTCAACTTTTAAATATTGCATCAACAAAAACCGTTGAATAAAATTTCTACTCACCTACCAATATTATTAAATTCAAAACATAAGTTGACCTTTGGACTCCCTGAATGATAGATAAAACTTGAAGTGCATGTTAAATTATATCCTCTTCAACAAATCACTTTTTTCGAAATCAAATTAAACAATGAATTTGGTTGAGTTGGCCAAGTGACTGCTTTCTATAAACAAGTTGTCAGATCGAATCTTCCTGAACAAGAGTTCTTTTTGTAATGTATTATTGCTTATAAAATTTCAACTAGCAATTTGATACGAATATTAACTAAAACAGTCCACAAAAAACAAAAATATCTATTTAAAAATTATTTGAAACTCGACCTGTTTCCCAGATAGATACGAGTATATTAGTAGACATGTATTCACCAAATAACGTAACGTATCGTAGCAGGTTGATTGGAGAATTGGTTCACTTGATAATTTATCTGTTGATGGTAACGATAATGGATCTGAATTATTTGACACGACGAGGTTGAGTATACCAAATGAGACCTTACATGATAATAGTGATCATAATAACGAAATTCAATCGCTTACCAATGAACTTGTGAGTGCACATCACGAAATAGAGAATTTCAACATTGAAAACCTCCGCCTGAAAAAAGACTTGCAAAATGCCTTACACTTGATTGAGACCTATAAGAAAATTTGTATGACGCCAGAACGAAATAGTAGAACTCCCAAATCCTTACGTAAGAATAAGCTGTGTAATTCAAAAAGTGCGGTCCTTAACCAAACTATGACACAGGAACAAAATATTACGAATTCTTCAGAATTACAAGTGGTGGAAGAGATTAGCGTTGAAGATACTCATAGCAAAGCACTTAAAACGTCTACGTCTTTTTATAACCGTGACCCAGTTAAAATTTTACCCATAAAGGATGAAGCTTTACCAAAAGTCAGAAAGATCATAGTATTGACTGACCAACAAGGTCGCGGTATACGTCGCACCCTTCAAAAGCTAGTTGACAAAAAATATGAAGTGAAATGCTATTGGAAAGCTGTTGCGAAATTACAAGAAGTTTTAGCTACAATTAATGAGAGTGAGATAAAATTACTAGACAAAAATGACTTTATTATCATACTAGGTGGTATAAATGACAAAGTGCCTAATAGCTTATTATTTTCTTTCCAACATTTTTTGAATAACACTTGTAATACTAATGTCATAACTACCGAAATACCATACAATAAACTTTTAAACGAGCGTAAGTTAAATTACGAACTTAGATTTGTATGTTCTAACTACACTAATTACTGTACATATATTGACATGAATTACATAAGTATTTTACCACCTTTACACTCTTTTGCGCTTTATGTATGTCGTTCTCTTCTAAAAGAAATACTTCATATTGACTATAAATTGCAATACGAATTCTATACCCGAACCCAAAATTGCTTGCCCTTGTTGAGGGACAAAATAATGTACTCAAACTGATGCATCGTTGGAATATGTAAGAGAAGCTTCTACACCACAGAAATCAAAAGATTTTTTTTGTGAATAAATATTTAAGTGTTCTACATCAAAATATAAATGGTTTGATATCTAAATCGGATCTTTTAGCGGTATCTCTTGTTGATCTTGAAAATAACGTTGACGTTTTGTGTATAACTGAACACAACATGGTCGCCTCTGACAAAAACTCGTTAAATATTAGTGATTATAAACTTGTTTCATTGTACTGTAGGAAAAGTCGGCGTGGAGGATCTTGCATTCTCGTAAAAAATAAGCATCAATGTGCCCAGATAGATAAAATTAATCAGTACTCCTTAGAGAACATTATAGAATGCTCAGGGATCGAATTGGTGTAACATAAAAGGAAGGCAAAAGAGGAAGTAACCTCCTGGAGTGAAGACGAGGAGGCTCCGAGCACCATCAGCTCGGCTCTGACGCGCTCCGCTGCGGTTTTTCTTATACCCTCTGTTTTTTTTTTATTGTAACCTTAATTTTGTTTTTATTGAAATATACATGTATGTATGACTGAGGTGTAAGTTGTTTCTGTAGGGAGTCCCGTAGGCTTCCCACACGCACACACTTCTGTTCTCATACAAGGCGCCCTGAGGTAATCTCTTGAATCTCTCCACTGGGTCAGCCGGTGAGTAGTCCGCCTGAGAAGAAAAGAGGCTACAAACTTTTGTTCTAAAATTAAACGGTCTAATTCTGATGTAGCTATTTTATCGTTATGAAGATTTAACTGGCCTATCGAAATATTATTCATTACTAGTAAGTTACTCTTTAAACTTTTTTTTTTTTTTTTAAACTAAGTTAAACTATTCAGTAATTGGTATTTAATATTAGCTGTTCCAGTTTTAATTTGTATGTGGCACAGTCGTATCGATGGTCAGATGGTTTTTTGAACCGCTTACACTGTGCGCACGTGGGCTTAAAATCTGGTGTGTCTTTATCTGGACAAGCTCGCGTTTCGTGTGCGGCGGCGCAATTAGCACAAGTAGGGGTTTTGATGGTGCAAAACTTTTGTACATGACCGAATTGCTGACAATTTAAGCAACGAACTACTTCTATATCGTCTATGAATCTACATGTGGCCCAGTCTATATAAAGTTTATCTTTTGTGTTGGCTAGATGTTTCCGAACTGCTGCCTCTAATTCTAAGCCTATCCATTGACGCCCATTTTCTAGTTTACGATGCCTAACAATTTTGGTTGACTTAATAAAATCGTTCTCACTTAATTTTAATTCGTCCTTGATATTCTGACGGTATAAGGCTGTTAGGAAGGAACGATCTTCCATAGAACCGGGTACGTCTTTTACAATTATACGGGGCCTACGGCCTTTCGGTTTTTCTAAGCGCAACCCTACTGATTTAATGGCGTCCACAGATTCCAGTTTCTTAAGCTGCCGTTCGTTAGCTACACGTAACACGACGCCTGCCTTAGAGGTTTTTTTAACGCCTACAATTTGAAATCCCTCATCGCTCGGTTTAATAGCCTTCATGAGAGCTTGTTTCGTTGCTGACGAGGTCGCATAGTCCGCTAAGCGTTCCGTAGTGGGATAGGCAATAACACAAGGCCTAGGAACGCGCGCTTCGGTAGGTACCGGGCACGGAGCCGATTTAGGTGGTAATCGAAGCTTAAGTTTGTCCGCGTACGTTAAACTCGTTTGTTGAGTTGCGATACCCTCCATTTGTCGCTCAAAATTCGCTAACTTCGTTTCGTTGCTAGAGGATTTTATTGCTAACAAAGATACGATACCGGTAATTCGTTGAGTAATATCCATAATTGCCGTTTTATTACCTACATTCATCCGAGATCCCTGATCATTAACTAATTCATTAATTTTTGCCAAGTACTCGGTAGCCTGTGAGACTAACTCGCAGTAATTGTATTCCCCACAGTTATCACGACCGTTAAGAGACGAAACATTTCCACTTAAATCCGAATTATTAATTCGTTTACTTCTATTGTCTTTCGGCGAGAAATCCGTAGGTGACATTTCGTTAAATGTCCTTTTCCCGGTTGGTGTTAGAAATTCACTTGTACCGCCGGGGTCCGGCAACTCGCTAACGACCGACATAGCCAAACAAAGACACACCAAACAACAATTTCAAAAGGAACAAGTTTAAAAATAAACAATACGCAGAGAAAAATCAATATAAACAAAGGATACCTCCTACCCACTTTTAGAAAGAAAATAAATTTACTCACCGATAGTCGTAATAAAATAATTCAGCACTATATTTCTGTTTAAAAAACAATAAAAAACTTACTGATATTCTTTAAAACACTATACACAACCTTTAGCCGCCCGCAAACCGGGAACTAGTCGCAGAAAAACACAGAAAACAATATTTAAATTGTTAGCATATGAAGTCACACGTTAATCGCACAGTGCCGCGAAGGGAAGTGAGATATTGCTTGCATTTAAATTTTGTTAAAAGTTAAATTGTAATCAACTTATAAATTTTATTAGTAGAGAGTTAGTAGAGTACATTCGGTTTCCCACATATTTTAAAATTTGCCTACATATCGCACTGCAAAAGGATACAATACGTCGCGATCGCGCGTCGAGTCGCTGACATCGGAAAGCTATCGGTCGCATGGTCTCGGTCACTAAGAACCGAATGCTACCTTAAGACGAAATGAAATAAACAAAAGCTTTATCCAAATCTAACAATAAATATATTTAAATATTATTTTTTGTTATAAATTTTCTACAAAACATTATCAAAAGATCGGTTCCCGCGACTTGTAGCTTTCAAATGTGTCTTCTGCTTCAGATATGACATTAAATATTTTTCTTTTCACACTATACTGCAACCAAGTCGGAAACTGTTTTGTTGTTTCACACATGCTCTCAAAGAAAGAATCTAATGGATGATTGCTTCGGCCTGTATATCTGCTTCTATCCTCCATATCAATCATGATTTCACCAAATTCATCATCTATTTTTCTTTTTCTATATTTGTGGTCAATCTCTTGCGTTGTGTCAACATTATTCTGTGTATTCGACTCAGGACTAAAAGTAATACTGTCATCGTTTGAAGTTGAAGGTACTACTAGAAATGAATCTGACGGAGAAGGCGATAAGTCTTCTCTCTCATCATCAATTAAACCAGCTAAATTTCGCCCTCTTTTACGAGTTTTCATGTATGGTACAAGGAACTCCATATGTTCTGCATACTTCCATTTATTGACTTTTGGAAAATCCACTTCTTGTGCCCCATGGGGGCCAAGTGCCTTTGCTCTTTTCAAAGAATCTCTATGGCTGTCCCGAAGTTTTTTCCACTCTGCTTTTGCAGTTCTAACTGAAAGTGATAAAAAAAAACATGAATTCTTGAATGCTCCTGAAATTGCTATTAAATACTAAACATTCTCATTAATCAGTTTTCCACCTTAGCAGAGTAATAAAAAAGATAGCTGACTAACTTTAATCTATAATTAAATTCCAACTATATTTTTCTTTAAATGGGTAAAATGGATACTGAGCTAGTATGCAATATATCCCACTGAAGTACATTACTGGATGTATATAAAGTTTGAAATCGGCTAGATGATTACTGGTCTTTTACTACAATGGAATGAAAAACTGCATTATTCAGTTGAGACATATATTTTCATGGTTTACAGAAGTGTATTTTCAATTTTTAAATCTAACATTAACTAAATATAATGTTTTTTTGCTTGAGTATCAGACTCAATGTCTGTACAAACTAAACTAAATTATATGGTTTATATGTATAAGGGTGAACACTAGCTAATAATGAAATTTAAAAAATACAAGTATATTGCTATAATTACACTGCTTTTACGGGTAAGCACTGTACAGTGTAGCCGCATGTCTGAGGTTAATCGGTGAAGCACCACTGAGGCAAATGTTGTGGCAATCACAGTTTTTTTTACATGCTCTCATATAACCATCTCTTTTATAAGCATATCACATATAATATAAAAAAATCACATAACTCTTAAACTATATCACATTTTTATACCCCAGATACACCAAATAATTTATGAAGGCCAGGGCTACAGTCTCTATTCACAATGTTCAGTGCAGTGTCTATTTAGTGATAGACTGACCTGTGAAGCATACGGAGACTACTCAAGGTGTATAACCAGATAATTATACACTGGCCTGTGAGAGCAGCACTAGGGAGTGTAATGACATACACATGTGGCACTGAACATGTTAATATTTGTTATTACATGTATTACTTATATTATGTTGTTGTTTCGCAGTGGAATATATCTTATTAGAAAAGATTATTTTCTAAGAAACTGTGATAATAGGTTTGTCTATAAAAGGTGATTAATTCTCTGTTAAACTGTTGTATCAGTCTACTTGATATTCTGTATCTGTTTACATTATTTCGTTCTCGACTATAGCTTAAGAATTAATATATGTATTACTAACATTAAAGTCATTACGATCTCTCATCCTGATAAATACTATATTCCTGATGTTATATAAATTAAATTGCGAAAGAAGTCGCAGGCAACTTACTGTCAGGAATATCCTTAGATTTTAATTCCTGTACGATTCGTTTCCAAGCTGCGTGTTTCTTTCTCATATCTCTGTACTCCCGACATTCCATGTCCCACAAACAAGGCAATTGTCTCACCATAATTATAAATTGTTCCATTTTTGAAATTTATTTTAACTGAGAATACTGATTAAAAAATATAAGCATTACACTGCAGATCATGCAATTAATTCATTAATTTGGGGCTATCGGTTTCCCGTCAATATGTTAGACGTTCACAGCTATGAAGTTTCATTTATAAAGTCCTCTGTATACCACACAACATTCTGTTATAATTTTTTCATGCATTATTAAGAGTTGTAAATTGTAGCACTGTTTTGTTTAATTCGTTCTACTTGACGCTATCGACATTCTTTGAATTTGAATTCCTTTGACGTTTTGACGTCACATATAAGGCATAATCTACCTCAATAGCAGGGATAGGGCTAATAGAGATATAAGCATAGAGTGAACACACACTACCTGTGAGTGGAAGCGATAAAGGCAAGGAGAGAGATGGATGACCGATAGTTCCCTCTGTCTCTGTTTAGCTAAGCTGCGATTGGCTATCGTGAAATCGTAGATCAGGCAGGAGATAAGAAATTTTGCAAAAAAAATTGCGTGTAAATAATTCAAAAACACATAGCTCAAAAACTTGAAGAAAACATTTGAAATTGTTATCAAACATTCTGAACGACAGCAGTTTACACTCAATAACCTCAATTAATATATATTGTGTAAACAATATGGAGTAATTTGCACATATAAATCAATTGAAAATTTGAACATCAAGTAAAACTGTATTTTAAAATATAAAATAAAAGCATGATCTATAAATAAACGTATTACCATTTTATGATTTAAAATTAAATAAATCCATGAAGTATATTGTATGTTCAACCAAAGAAAAAAGACACAAGACACAGTGTAATAAAAATTTAATATTATAAGTCTGACAAAGTTATTTTACACAGACGAATGTCATATTACATTATATTGCTGTCCATTAAAAATGTTAATTTTATTGTTTCGTATGCGGACTACTCGGTTCCTTTTGATCATTTGTAAGTTTTGATTCGTGTGCCAGTCCCGGATCTATTGGAAGTCAAACCTGTCAATGCAGTATGATTAAAAATGAAAAACTTACTCCACAAAGTGCCTAGCATATGAAAGCCTCATATGCTCACCAGCGACTTTTAAGGAACCCACAGGCCCACGCTAGAAGCGAACTTATATATTTGTGAGACCCGGTTTGAAAAATCATAGATCCGGGGCCATTCTAATATTTATGTATTGACTTATAATCTTAAAAACCTAAGACCTATTTATCGTAATCTTAAATTTACCTATAGTAAAACAGCATATTTTGGCAACCTGAATTAATTCATACACTTGTATAATAATTGGAATAAAATGAAAGTGGTTAAGGTTAGAAATGAACTTAGAGGAAAATAAAACTCACTGCATTTAAAACAATGCTTCATTTTTCGTTTTGAATGTACAGCTTTTCATTAAAAAAAGTTACAGTTTTTCAAAATAAAAAAAAACCGACGCAGTATTCCTTATTAACCCCTCATATTCCCCAGCTAACCACAGAGCTGGACTAGTAAGAGATAGAGGGAACTATCTAGCATCCATTTGTCTCGATGCATTTATTGCAAGATTGGGGCTCTTGTTCACTCTATGCTTAAATCTCTATGATAGGGCCCATAGTGCATTTTGACAGTTGACATTTAGGGTTGGGGAGTAAATACAAACATTTTCAGAATGAGTCAGATGTTCACAATGCTTCCGAATTTAAATATGAAACAGCTTATGTTGGAGTATGAGTTAAAACTGGTTTTACATTTAATAAACAGTAAAAAGTATTTTTGTACAATGAATATTCCATACAATACAAAAATATGTATTTTGTATTTGTACTGGATGTGGGGTCAATGGATACGGCTTATGGGGTGATTAGAAAAAATGCTAGGCCTGCTACAGTCTCGATAGTACCTATCGTAGGTACATAATCATAGATACTCACCACCTTAGGTAAATTACCTGATTATGTTTGTTAATATTATTGTGCTTGTAAAATGAAAGTAAACATTTTAAGTAGGTACCTTTTACTTTATTATAAAATGCATCGCAGTCGTTTTAATTATATTATTATAATAATATAAAGTCATTTTTTTTGTAAAATATATTTAATTAATCAACTTGTAGCCGCTTTTCGTGTCAGGCGGACTACTCACCGGCTTACCCAGCGGAAAAATTCACGAGATTACCTCAGGGCACCATTGTCGAAAACAGAAGGGTGTGCGTGTGGGCGACCCAAGGGACTCCTCAGAAAAAGACAACTTACACCTCAGTCATACATACATGTATATTTCCAATCAATTCAGAGTTACAATAATAAAAAAAACATAAAATAGTGGGTATATAAAAAAATCCCGCAGCGGCGCGCGTCAAGGCCGAGCTGATGCTGCTCGGAGCCTCTTCGTCATCAATCCAGCAGGTCACTTCCACACCCGCCCGAGTCGGCTATTTATATTAGGTATAATGGAAGGTTCAATATTTATATTAATAACATTAACAAGAAGTACGTAACCCTTGAATAAGGCTGTCCGCTTGCTTGGTGAGCCGCGTGACTGCCAGTTTACCAGAGAGTATTGAGAAACTCGATTTCGCACCAGAAGGCCACAAACGAAAGAGCACGCCGTCTGAGATTGATTGTCTTGACCCGAAATCTAGAGCCCTACGAATGGATTAGCACTCATATAATCGTTCAGGTTCCAGAAACAAATGACTACAAGAAAATTAAGAATAACTTACCACTGGCGTGGGTACTTAGAACAAAGAAAATATAACTAAAATGAAATCACCAGACAAACAAAATACTACTTAAGATCGCAAGACTAGAATCAGCAGAGTGTCCCCTGTGGCTGAAAGCCGGACTTATATATGCTCGGTTTGTGAACTTTCTAGAAAGAATCCCTACTTTATCATTTTAAATTGACATTCAAATTATCATCGAGGTTAACACGAACTAAATCAACAGTAACTCGCTTCCTACCATAACAAGACACTTTTAACACCAATACAATTTGTCATGATAAATTATTACTATGACTTATCAACAAAACAACGCCATCTAGTGGTCCGATGGCGGACGAAGAACATCAATACTATAGTTACAATCTACTTTGGATAAATCTATAAATGCGACGCGGGGCAATAGGTGTCACTGTTTACAACTCAACAACAAATATAATAAAAAAAATAACTGTTACAAACTATGCACGTTTGCCATCTCATAGGATGTTCATTGATCCCTTTACTAAAAAAAAACATGGGGGCGAGAATCAATAAACTCTTTGAAGGCGGTTTGGACTGCCGCATTGGAGTTGAATGTTTTCCTTGTAAGAAGTTGTTCAAATTCCGGAAAAAATGGTAATCTGTTGGAGCAAGGTCCGGGGAGTACGGTGGATGTCGCAGACATTCCAATTGTAGCTTATCTAATTTAGTGGTTGTTTGTTGTGCAGTGTGTGGTAACGAAAGGTTGTCGTGAAGCAGCAGTGGCCTAGAGCGATTGACCAATATCGGTTGTTTAGCAGCTAGTTCTTCCTTCATGGAAGACAGAAAACAGTTGCTGACAATAGATATCTGCCGTAATCGTTTGGCTATATTTTAGAAAGCTGTAGTAAACGAAACCGGCGTAGTTCACCAAACACTCACAAGTAACTTTTTCTGAGTCAATTTTCGTTTTTTTACTTTGGCGATTTGCTTCAAGTGGATTAATACAGTTTTATCACTTACCCCGAAGCCTGCAGCTATCTCTGAAGTGCTTTGTGATGGATCTGCTTCCACAATAGCTTTTAATTCTTCATTTTCCACTTTGGTCTCCGGCCGTCCACGTGGTTGGTTCTGAAGGTCGAAATTTCCAGAACGAAAATGTTGAAACCAGAAACGTTCTGTGCTTTCTTTTGCAACACCAGCGCCGTACACGTCATTAATCCTTCGAGCTGTTTCTGCAGCTCTGGTGCCACGCTATAACTCATAAATATACCGATATTTCATGTTTTCCATTGTGCGTTAATAAGCGACGCCAAAGAAAAAAATAATGAAAAAAACAAATGAATGACTGTTTTCAAAACTCAAATGTAGCAGCTAAATAAATTTATAAATTTCAATTTGGAATTCTTAACCATAGAAGAGATATTTCAGATCAAAGTGGTCAGTACGACAAAACAAATCAAATCTTGACATGCATAATGCAGGATACATCGGTTTAGCCTAGAACAAATTTAATTTGGTACGAAAGCGGGTCTGTCTTTTGTCAAGGTACTATACCTTGTATTGTTGTACTCGTACCTTGTACTCGTAGTAGGTAAACTTCCGATAAAAAACTTTGGGATACTAAAATTACTTAATGTAACAGTACGCTTAAAAAAAAGTCAAATTTTAATTATTGTATGTTGCATTTTTAAGGATTACCCTATCTATTCATTTGTAAGTCTCTACTGTTTAAAACTAAATGCTTCATATGAATGAATAAACCTATTTCTTTAAAAAATATTTTTCACGCATTTTATATAATATCAAGTATCTTTAAGCCTTACCATAATTACGGAATGCCGTGAATATCGTCATATCCATACTAGTGATATCGTCTCAAATAGCACGTACATTCCGATCACTACTCATGAAGTAGTCTTTGAAACTAGTTATTCGTTCTTTGCTGACCGAAAGTAATTATTACTAACCTAGTTCAGAAAATCAGCTATAAGACGGGAGCTTGATTCTTGTCTTTATGTACCAGGTCCTGTAAATTCTCCTGCAAGTGCGTCATAACGTAAGGCTGTCTCAATCAACCAGTTATTATAGAAGATCTGACAGTATTTCTATTCGTCGCAGTAGAAGATCGTCATCATCGGACATCTTGAACATGAATGCAGTGCAAAGAAACAACGAGATAATAGTATACTCGGACGCTGAAATTCTACAGGTAGACAACTGAACTAAACAACTAATTATTGGCATAACATTCAGTTTATATATCCACACACAGGTTTATCGGTGGCCAAAAAAGGCCGCACACATTGTGATCGTGAACGTGGAGAGCTACATTTCATCATAACTTTTTAGTCACTTACAGTATTCTTACGAAAATTCGTATACATTTGAAGGAATACATTTCTAGTAACAAGCAATAGAATAACGTTTGAAGTAAGTCTTTAGAGGTCTTATTTAAAGTGTTAGGACGTATTGAAGTGTTTTCATACTTACCTAAATAATTTTTAAACGGTCCATTATTTTTGTTATTTTATTGTCGAACAAATTAAAACTAATCCTTAAGAAGTTATGTACAAAAGATGGTTACAATCCGCTTACCCGTTTCAGAGAGCCAGCAAACCCACAAACGTTACTCCAGCAGGATCTCGAATAACTTCGCAGCCGAAGAAAATACAAATACCAAATAAGTTGTAACATTTACCTAGTCCGGATAACTAATTATGTAGCTAAAATTTATTTCAATATTACAATTAAAAAAGAAAATGTTTGGCTGCGGAAACGTTTCAAACGTTACCCCAGCAGGAAATGTTTTTTTGAAATAACTAAAAAAGTTTGAGTGAAACAAATTTAAAAATGTGCCTAACAATTACAGAAGGGGAGCAACTAATTATCTATAACGTTTAAATGACCATTTTCGACATTATTTTGCTGGGGTAACGCACACGGCTCGTACGAGCGCACTCTAAAATATTTAAAAATAAAAATATTTAAACTGGTTTTTTAGGCATAGGTATCGTACAAATAACCATGTGAGCATGAAAAAAACCTAATATTTTGACATTACGATCAATTTTATTTATTTGTATTGATTTACATATAATTACAAAAATACCCAAATTACCGTTTTAATCATAAATTATACATTATATATGCATACATACTAGTCATACATTATATATGACGGAGGACTGATGTTTGGGTTGTTATTTAATAGAGTGATTCTTTAGATTGACATGGTTTTCCTTTATAAAAGCAAGTAGTAGTAGTAGTAAATAACAATAACAACAGTAAATACAACTGAAGATGTCTACCAAGTTCTTACACACAGTCGTACATAGATCCGTACAGTAGTAAATAAAGACAGCAGTAAATACAGTTAGATGTATTCCAAGTCTCACCAACAGTTGTACGTAGATCCGAACAGCCCGACGGCTGGAGCGAGAATGAACGAGTACGAGAGCTGGTCTTCAAACCGTCCCGCAGGGGACGCGTGGTGGCTGGATCGGGGCTGTAGCCCCCTGCCAGCGATATCTACCGCTACCCCTAAATAGGGGTAGGTCCTGGGCTGTCCTTACTGTAGGTTTCGAGTTTGAGGGGTTTCGCTCTTCACGCCGCATCGGCGGTCTAGCTCGAGCCAGGTGAGACCCCAGGCAAGCCTGGGGAGGCCCAGCTCCGAGCGACCAGCACCGGACGAGTATGCGTAATGCAGCTCGTTTTTAAAGGACGCATTGTTCGAGCACGTGTTCACATATTGTTAGGTTAAGTGTTGTATTTTCTTGTTGTGTTTAGATAATACGATTCTTCAGGTTGTTTCTTAACACTAACTATAAAAATTACAATTATAATCCATTGGAATCTAATTTAAATAAATAAATTATTTTTATTAAGTGTTAGTTTGTAGTTGCTCCGACATATATATATATATATATATATATATAGTTAAAGTATATAGTTAAATATATATATATATATATAAAATTATAACTACCCATGACTTCGTCGGCATATAATTTAAATTATATTTGTTCATTTTTTTAATAATATACCAACTAGTTACATATAATATTATTATTATCGTGATGGAAAGCTGCAGCAATCACATGGGTGTAAGAATTCATTTCTACCAAAAGCTTTTTCCAATATTTTCTCCAACTGAAATCACAAAATGAAATATATATCTCCATGCTGTTTTTCATAATTTGTTCAAACTTTTATCAAGTATTTTAAAAGGAATAGGAACCCGAGATACTGTGTAGGTAAAATATAGTTAAATTATTATATTAATGCTAGCTAGTCGAGGCAGTCTTATAGGTATTTAGCGGTCTATCAAAAGAGTTGACTCACTATTTGCTGTAGTGGCCTTAGCCATTGCGAGGCTCGGGCCGGATAGATCATTGCGAGGCTCTAGGCGGGTAGCGCATTGCGAGGCCCCGGGTGTCAGATCTTTGCGAGGTCAGATCTTTGTTTATGGAAATACTTTTAACGATGATACTTGAAACAAATAATGCAACGCATAAAATACGGCTGCTCGAACATAAAAGTTTAAGACGACGACAGTCGATACTAGAAGCCTGTCAAAATGACAGGCGAAATGAAACACGGGAAATCCCCGTTATTGCGCGAATGCGCGAGGCCCCTGCATGAGCGAGGCACCGGGCGGTTGCTCTGCTGCTACTCAATGACCGCCGCTGACTATTAGTATTTGTTACAGATATGGTAACACCCAATTAAGGTGAAATTTAGATGAGTACCTACAAAACTGTAGCAAGACACAACGATTCAAACGCTGAACCTTTTTTCTAAGAAGTACAACGTAACAATAAAAATGAAATGTAAATGAAAGAACACAGAGTTTTTATTTTTTTATTAATTTTTAACATACTAGGCATGTACAAAATTCTTGTGATGTTTAGTAATAATATAGGCTTTTTTTCAAGTTCAATGTAAGTAAAAAAATTGACTAATTGAGTGAGACACTTAACAACGGCTTTTTTTCTTCAATTTGTAAATTATCAGCTCATGGCAGACAAACCGTTTTAAATTAATGAAGCCAAATCTCAGGCATGTTCTCTGGCAGTAAATTTAACTTTTTAGGTTTAACTAGGTACAGTTCATTATTTAAATGTTCACAATTATGTATATTTACATGTAGATTTGACAAACTACTTGCTTTCAATCCTGTTGAAGTAGCTACCTAGAAGAAGCTATTGTCTCTATTTTTCTCTATTATTATGAGAAAAAGTATAAGTTTTACTTTTCATTTAATTATCATAAAAAACACAGTTAGTATTAAAGATTACGTTAATAACTAAGTTCTTCTTCTACACCGAGTTTTGTTCCGGCGGCAACACTGAAACAAAAAAATTGTTACAATTTGGCAACAACAAGTCAGGCTGAGGGAAAGTAGTGGAGGAGTACAACATCATAGATAGTAAAAAAGTATTGGAGATTAAATTTCATGATAGTTTTACTAATTAAATGAGTATTCAATGAAATTATTAACAATTTGATTGATTGATGAAAAAACATTATTATTCATTATTGCTTTCAATAAATAAACATTATAATTCATCACTTTTTGAAATATATAAGAAAAATAATAAAAAAATATATTTTTGTAATTTAATGGAGGTGAAAAAGAGCTTTTCAGCCCACGGCTGACGCTTCTCCACTACCCAGTCCAGGAATTTAAGTGTCTAAAACTATGCAATGATACGAGTCTGATGCGAATGAACCACCAGAGCTGAGCCACATGATTTCAACGGCTCATTTGAGGGCTAGGCACAAGATTGTATCTGGACTCCACTAATAAGATCCACGATGCGTTCCCAATCCACCCTATCTACCTCATTAGCTACCAATTATTATAAGAATTACTTATAATTCTATATTCTCTTTTCTGTAACAACGTAAATCATAATAGCTTACCATAGGATTTCTTTTTGTATTTATTGTATATGACTTTTACAATAATCGTGATGACGACCCCTAAACAGAAACAGCCGATAGCCGCCCACCACAATGTTGAAGAAGAAGTACGAGTACTTTCATTATCTGGTTTGTTGACAACAGCCGCTGTGTTTGTTGCCGTGTTTTTGGTGATCTGATTATTGGTAGGAACAGTAGTTGGATTACTAGCAGGGTTAGTGGTAGGAGTGGTGGTTGGATTACCGGTAGGTACATTAGTTGGGTTAGTAGGAGGGGTGTTGGTCGGAATACTGGTAGGAACAGTAGTTGGTTTAGTGGTAGGCGTGGCGGTCGGATTACTGGTAGGCACGGTGGTAGGGTTAGTGGGAGGGGTGTTGGTCGGAATACTGGTAGCAACAGTAGTAGGTTTAGTGGTAGGCGTGGCCGTCGGATTACTGGTAGGAACATTAGTTGGGTTAGTGGGACGGGTGTTGGTCGGAATACTGGTAGGAACAGTAGTTGGTTTAGTGGTAGGCGTGGCGGTCGGATTACTGGTAGGCACGGTAGTAGGGTTAGTGGGAGGGGTGGTGGTCGGATTACTGGTAGGAGCAGTAGTTGGTTTAGTGGTAGGGGTGGTGGTCGGATTACTGGTAGGAACAGTAGTTGGTTTAGTGGTAGGCGTGGCGGTCGGATTACTGGTAGGCACAGTAGTAGGGTTAGTGGTAGGGGTGTTGATCGGATTACTGAAAGGAACAGTATTTGGAATAGTGGTAGGGGTGGTGGTCGGATTACTGGTAGGAACAGTAGTTGGTTTAGTGGTAGGGGTGGTGGTCGGATTACTGGTAGGAGCAGTGGTTGGTTTAGTGGTAGGAGTGGTGGTCGGAATATTGGTAGGAACAGTAGTTGGTTTAGTGGTAGGCGTGGCGGTCGGATTACTGGTAGGAACAGTAGTTGGTTTAGTGGTAGGGGTGGTGGTCGGATTACTGGTAGGAGCAGTAGTTGGTTTAGTGGTAGGGGTGGTGGTCGGATTACTGGTAGGAGCAGTGGTTGGTTTAGTGGTAGGGGTGGTGGTCGGATTATTGGTAGGAGCAGTAGTTGGTTTAGTGGTAGGGGTGGTGGTCGGATTACTGGAAGAAACAGTATTTGGAATAGTGGTGGGGGTGGTGGTCGGATTACTGGTAGGAACAGTAGTTGGTTTAGTGGTAGGGGTGGTGGTCGGATTACTGGTAGGAGCAGTAGTTGGTTTAGTGGTAGGGGTGGTGGTCGGATTACTGGCAGAAACAGCAGTTGGATTAGTGGTAGATGGTGTCGTAGGATCTAGTATTTTACTGTAACGAAAAGAACACCAATGTTTATTAAAAGAAGAAATAAAGTCGAACTGTTCAATCTATTTGCAAAAGTTACAAAGGTAGGTGATTGAATTTGAAACATGTCACTGATGCAAATAAGTTGAACAAAAATGATTTTTAATTTAAAATAACATTCAATTTTTTTTACTGAAACATAAAATGTTTAATAGTTGTCTAGAAAAAACGCGCTCTAAATTTGACATGGCTGGCTGTTAAACATCTGTCAAATTTGACAGGAATTATATCTAATATATATATATATATATACACTGTAATAGTAGGTACAGTTAAGTGTAAACTTCGGTGCTGCCATAGTTCTTACTACTGACATCAGTAACAGTATTTGCAGTATGGGGCGATGAAATGGCCCGTTCGACAGACATTTATTTGGTGAGTCGTTTAATAGACATTACACGGAAATACAGTATAAAAACTACTTACTCGTTTATAAAATCGCACAGTGCTTTTGTCTCCACCAAACTATAACAAGAAAACATAATTAATACCTGTAAACTTCATATGGACAAATGCTCTCTTGGAGGTATGTGTAGGTAACGTACATGACCATTTATGTTTTAGGTATTTTTTGTTATATCACTACAATATTAATACTATTAAAAAGTATTGATATTGTAGTAACCACTGTTATAATAAATGAAAAAGATGAAATACACGATACATAATCCGTATGAGATCTATACGTGGTATTTAAACAGGTCATTTTATGATGATTTTGTAAAAATAAAAGTATCTACAATAACAACAACATAAGCTAGCGAGCTAGCTCAAAGGACATATGAATATTAATTTTAGTTTGTTCGGCAAATATACAGAGTATATAACAAGGCATACAACATGAGTTAACACTATACACTATAGGTACTTTATGCAGCGTCAACTTTCATATATTGAAATAAGCAAATTCGATTAAAGCTCTTAGGGCAAAGAAGGAAGATGACAAGAATACTTACTTTACTTTCAGGGGTGCGCAAGTTCTGGGTGGCTGAAATAGAAAATACATACATAATTACATTCTAATAAAAAATTAGATTATTTATTATGAAAGCGTAATCAGCAAATTTACATGTGTATAGGAGTCGGTATACTCGGTTGGTACCTCCATTCAAAGAAGACCACAGTCAGTGTGATGACAATAGTGCAGAACAGGGGCCCAAGTGCTAGTTTATTTCACATCTACTTGATCGTGACGGTGACCGCGTTCGACGCTGCGATTGGGTCGCACTGAAATGTTTCACCAATCGCAACGCCGAGCGCGCTCGCTGTCGAGAGCGAGTTGATGTGAAATAAACTAGCACTAGGCCCTCAGGTGTGTCCAGTATTTATAGACAAAAATTACCATTTATCACCAAACAGGTTATAAAAGCTGTGTCCATAAATTGGTCAAAACAAATATTCATGTCGAATTATCAAATATATAATAATCTTTTTTCATATTTAAATAAAGGACTAATTAGTTCAGATGAAACAATGATTTTAGTCATCTACATATAAATGTGATTGTAATCTTTTTATTAAAGGTCGTTTTTCGTAGTTCGACATCATCATCAATCGACTTTAATTTAGACACCGTGTCTGCCACCTATATATGTATAATATACATTCTTATAATGATAATAAAACTACAACTACAAATATAAGACAAAGTACAAGTAAAACGCAGTATAATGTGGCTAGTACAATTGGCGGCCTTGTATGTGGCAATCTTTTACAGGCAACCACTGGACGGAGATTCCCATTGGTAAAAGATGTATGGGTAGGTCGGCGCATGTTCAGTATTTTTTTAATAAATAAATGTTTATTAAAATATAACAACTAAACCAAACTAAATGAAAAACATATTTATATTGAAATAATTATTTGATCAACTCACCGTTTCTTTTTTTGGGTTCTTGATATAGCAATTGCAGTTTAATGATTTATAAGCATCTTGTAAATAGTTATACCTGAAAATTACAAACAATTAAAAACGTAATATCTCAAATTGCGAAAAATATTACTAAAACTTGTATGTTTTTAGTATAATCAAAATATTGTTTTAATATAATCGATATACTCGGCAACTAATACAGAGGTATACACACAGACCACACAGTGTACCGTCATCACACAGATCTTTTTTTGCCTCTGTAGCCTATTGGCTTCAAATTTCGATTAGTTTTTTTTATGGTAGGCAAATGAGCAGATGGGTCACCTGATGGTAAATGACTACCGCCGCTCATGGACCCCTATAACGTGACACCGTGTTTTAACTCCGGTTGAGCCGGCCTATCCAAAGAAAGTCATCTGCACGGATGGCGTAGTGGTTTAAGCGGTCGCCACGACGTTTACTACTACGCTGAGTGTTGGTCCGATCCCCACAGGGGACGACACTTTGTGTGATCCACAAATTGTTGTTCTGAGTCGGGGTGTTCTTTGTGACCGTTTCATGTATGTTTGTAAAGTCCCCCGCGACACATGATATATTCCTAATGCGAGAGTTTCACCACCCCTATTCATCCCGTGAGTGTCGTAAGAACCGACTAAGGGGGCAAATAACGCAAGACAACAGCAACACAAAGAGAAGAGACTATTATGGCTGTTGATGTGATGTGAGTACAACCAAATTAATTAATTTATAGAAGCTTTTAAAAAGTTATTTTTTTACAGGATTTAAACGATAACTAACGACCGTTTCAATTTTATTTATGAAGGTGACCAGTGTGCTGATAACGTGAACCGCTGTGAACAGGATATATTGAATGCGAATACTTATATGTTTTTGTTCCGTTAATAACTCACTGTAGTTACGCTTTATAAATGTAATATTTTAATACTCGTATGTATGTTAGTAATAGGTTATAATATATAATACCAGCATTTTCTGATTTAATTATCTGTGGATTGGCGAGCATTTTGAAATTCAAATAAATTTTATTCGAAAGCCGTGTTATTTTAATTTAAAATTTAGTCATTAGTTTTAGATAGAGTTTTGTTTTTATAAAATTGTGGTTGTTTTTGGCGCCATGGATCCCTAAAAATTCGTACAATTTTCGACTTGTCACTCTCCAGAATGCTTGCCCGCATGTAAATACCGTAGAACCGATATCCATCAGTGCCAAATACAACCGTATGTACCGCGGTCTGTGAATTTATTTTTATGCATTAGGTATAGGTAGAAGTAGGTATTTGTATAGGTATATTAAATTATTAATAAATTATCAATTTAATTTTAACCCTGAATACTCAGGTATTAAGACTCAACCTGCATAAATTTAATAAACTCAGTGTTGTGCTATTAGATTTTTTATAGAAATAATAATTCATTCGTCATGAAATTTCAATGCACTGTAATTGTCAACTGAAGTAACCTACTCATTTCATTTAATACATTCTAATCCATTCTATTTCAATTTGCCATTAAACAAGTAGGAAAACTACGAGAGATATTTTGTCCTATTACACCCATTATCGACCTTTATACTCCATGTAAAATTTAGAAGTAGGCATTTACACTAGTCAGATTTTTATGGTAGGTAATATGTATTTATCCACTAATGTAGCGCGGTAATATAATAATTCTAAACAAACTTATTTTATGAAATTTATAATAAAATATAATAATTCAATTTATCCCACTAGAACTTTTAGGCCATGGAAAATTGATTCGAGTGAGCGTTTAGAAGCGTGTAGAATCGAGAAATTCGAGTGTTTATTTAAAAAATATATTTTAAATAGATCATCCGACATCCGATATCGGATCGGCTAATATCTCGCGGACTAGCTCGGCGGCGCGGCGAGCTGCAAAACAAGACCATTTATACATTTGGCCTTTATTTGCGCTGCCTTAAGGTTCCGGCCATGCCTTTATTTTTGCTCGACTTGGCAAACATACTAATTATAGTATGTATTAATTGCTTAACCACCCTATTAGGTTCCCCCCCCCCCCTCACAAAATTAGGGTTTTGGTAATGGAGTGACTCTTACCAAGGAGGGCAAATACCTAGGTCTTACACTGACAGTCAACGCCTATGGAATAAGCTCCTCAAAGAAAAACTGAACAAAGCCTGCATCGTCTTTTGCCATTGCAAATGGTTTCTCAGTAAAATCTGGGCATTTTAAACGTTGATCACAGAATTAGGGTAGGAGGGTTCTATCGTAAGTCTCACTCACTTAGTGAAAAGCAAAGCAATAATTGCTAAGACCGGTTTTCTATAAGATTATGGTATAGGTGTGGAAGAATGGTTCTCGTAAGAATGTAAATGTATTAACACTTCATTTATACCTTACACTTTTAAGACAAACGGAGATATAAACTTAGGCACATGCAAAATGAGTTTTCCTTATGGATCCACGTTATTGTATGCTATTTATGAAATGGTTTATGCCATGCTATTGTTGTCCGTGTGGTGACGGATTAAGAATACGGATTGTCCCCACCCACGTTCATCCCGTGGGTGTCGTAAGGGTGAACTAATGAAGCAAACTACGCAGGACAAAAACACTGAAAAGAGAAGGAAAACTTGACACAAACCCTATACCAACCCGTCTGGCCAGCGTGGTATAGTAGGCCAAAACCTCCTTCCTAAGGAGATGCCTATGCCCAGCAGTGGACTATTAAAGGCTGTTGATGATTGTTTAAAAAGGAGGATTTCCTCACATCCAATGATGAATGATGCTTTTTTTGGTGTGTACGTTACGCGAAATGTTAGCCATTTTTGAACTGATTTTAAATTTATTACTACTATGAAAGGGCTAGTAAGGAAGAAAATAATGCAAAAGTAATTATTTATAACAAATTTAAAATGTTACTTACACATCACGTACGTCTTTTGGTTCAGAATAAGTTTTAACAAGAGGGCCAGTTGGAGGATCGGTCGGATGCACACCCAAGACAGCGATGTTCACTAACTAAAAGAAAAACATTGTAATCAAAATATATTTCTATACCATTAAGTCAAACAGGCTTAAAATAGAGCGCTAGAAAAAAACAGAATTTCGGTAGGTCAATTCGATGAATTCTTGACCGACTGACCGAAATTATATTGCAAATATCCGTAAGCTACCGTGTTATACCACAAAGAGAAAAATAAATTAAAAGACAAGTTGAAAAAGTTGTGTTATTCAGTTTCGTTCTGTTGGTTGTTGACATTTAAGGAAAATGTTGAAACTTTTTATCAAATTAATTTCAAATATTATTTCTTTAAGTGGATCATTGCTTTGAATTAAAATAACACCATTTATTATTTGTTTGCCTAAGAGCTTAATTTCTTAGGCAAACTGTTTGACACTAATTAAATATTCACTATGGCTTTTCATCCATCATTGCACTATCACTTCGGTAAAGCAAAAGAAACATCATCAACACCTTGAAAATTTGACAGTAGTAATTACATAATTAACTTTTTACTTACTAAGAAAACAAACAAAAAATGAAATGATTTCATTTTTAGTGCGTCTACTCAACACAAAGGCCGCTTTACAAATGTAATACCTTTTCGACAATTTCAGTACGAATGCATCCTTATATTGTTTAATAAGCTGGAATTCTATATATACGTATTAACAATTGCCCGCGGTAGTTGTTATACATATTGTAACCAAAAACAATATTTTATCTTCTAATTAAACCACAAACGTTATCTACGGTATTAATTAGTCATTTTGTACACCAGGGTCCAAACGAGGAAAGGGAAGTTTATAACTTCTGGAAGATGCTCACAGAGGGACTGAATAGGGACCTATGTGGATGCCCTTGCAAATTTTTACTGGTCAGGCTCAAATCGTGGGTCCCGACTCCCGCTGCTGACGCAGACTTTGGACCCGGAGTTTGTGGGAAGAGTGATAGATACCCTCTACCCCAGCCACAGGGCGGTCCCTCACATCGTACGTCACTGTCATTACGTTTTACGTGGTCTGACGCTTTGGACATAACGGGGGCAGAGATTTTGAATATATTTTAAAAAATGAACCTATAATTGTTAGTAGCATCTCGGTTTCGCTATTCGGGTTTGATACACACAGCATTTCACTACAATCAGTAACAAACATGACTAAAAATTCATCCCATTTCACAGAAGAGAATTAACATTCTCTTAGAAGTTTTCGACAATGTTTATATTGGAGGTTATAAACTATTTTCGATTACACATATCCGAACAACATAGCAATTTGATAAGCTGCATAAACACTGTCGCACAGAAAACCACATCCTTTGCATCCACGTATTTATATTAACATTTAAATTTTCGCATTCCATGATATATTATTGTCGTCATTATTACGTCGTCAGGCAATTCCAAGGTTTATAATAGCTATTATATTAATAGCATCAACTCCAGTTCGTTAGTAATAATTGTAGGGATTTATTATCGCAAATAAAGCTTTTTCAAAGCAAAAAAAAAAACAAATCGAGGGTATCATTGATTTTTTAAATTTTGGTTCACCACGTTACGATTCAAAATTTATGGCCATATTCATCTAGAAAGACAGAGATCATGGGAGACGTCGGGAGTCATTATATCACTTATTTTTACTTGTCTGATAAGGAGAAAATTATTCCATGAGTATCTGTTGTCATATGAAACTGTATTGAGATGGGATAAAGTCTATGTAATAGGCATGTGTTTAAAAATATGTAAAACAATAATTAGCACTTCCACCGTACGGGTGGAAGATTTAATTCGTAATGTATAGTGTCAAGGCAGTTACCTAACGGGTAATTGAAGTTTCAGAGATATCAGAATTAATCGCTACATACATATTTGCAGTTGTTGTGACGGAACACTGTCTGGTTATCGTCGCTTCAAACCGACATATCATTCGTCAAAAGGCATTTAGCCCCGGTGGGTTGACGTCCCGTTTAGATTTCCAATAGTTAACAACAAAAGAGTGGGTATTTCGCAAATACTGAAACTGCTGTTAATCTTCACCTATTCCTGTTACGTGATCGAAATGGTCAGTTGATGTTGTCAAGTGGGAGTTCAAATCACTAGACGGAAAAACAGTTTATCGACCCTATTCTCTTTGTGCCACTGTAGTCTCAGTCCTGTCGCCCTATTCGAGACAATTTTTATACTTCTGTTCACAATTAAATTTAAGACAATATAATAATCTGATCAACTCTAAAAATCACTTATTAGACTTATTTTGTTGCAACAAACACTGTGTCGTACATAACGTCGACATTCCTTTTGTACCTATAGACAACAGTCACCCAGCTTTTTATGCACACATACCACTTATTAATCACGTATCTACCACTTATTAATCCCTATATCTATTTCAGCATATAAAGTACAGAATCCATTAAACTTTTATAAAGCTAAATATGAAAATATAAACAAAGATATAGGGGATGCTGATTGGAACAGTCTGCTTGAAACATTAGCACCCAATGAGGCAGTCTCTATGTTTTACGAAAAACTATATGCAATAATTAGAACACACACTCCGGCACGTAAAAATAGAGATATAAAATTCCCTATCTGGTTTTCAAAAACGCTAATTCGTATTTACAAAAACAAAACATCTGCATGGATAAAGTGAAAAAAATATGGGCATGTCAGGGACTATGAAACGTTTTCTATCAATAGACACAAATTTAAACAAGTTGCAGATAAATGCCTTAAAACTTACATTAACTCAGTTGAAGATAACATTGAAACAAACATCAAATCATCAAATCTGGTCATACGTCTCCAATCGTAAATCCTCAAATAAAATACCCTGCTCAATCCATTATAAACAAATCCTTGCTAATGATCCTATCGAAATATGTAACTTATTTTCCAATTTCTTTCACTCAGTATATGAACCCTCCACATTGAACCTTGATACATGGGAACCACCTCCTTTAAGCTCTGATGATGATATTAACTTATCCAATTTACACTTCTCTTTAGAGAATATACGTAGTGAACTGAAATTGCTCGATCCAACCAAGGGGCCTGGTCCTGATGGTATTCCTGCAATATTTAAAAAAAATACGTATAACACTATATGTTACCCTATTTTCATTCTCTTTAACAAATGTGTCTCGCATGGAGTTTTTCCTAACTCATGGAAACGTGCAAATATTATCCCGGTTCACAAAAGTGGATCCAAAAATGATGTGGAGACCTACTGCCCGATCTCTATATTGTCGGCATTCTCCAAACTTTTTGAGAAGCTTGTTCATAATGAAATATACCCAATTATCCGGCGGGTTATTATAAATGAACAGCATGTTTTTGTCAAGGACAGATCGTGTATTAGCAACCTTCTAATATTTTCGACTTACCTATTTGAGGGTATTGATAATAGGCGACAGATTGACGCGGTATATACTGATTTCCAAAAGGCTTTTGATAAAGTTGACCATAAAATGTTGCTCAATAAAATTGCATACAACGGTATCAGAGGGGACTTACTTCGATGGTTTATCTCTTATATAACAAACAGGACACAAAAGGTTGTAATTAATGGCTTTGAGTCCAGCTCCATCCAGGTTACCTCGGGAGTCCCGCAAGGCTCAATTTTAGGCCCTTTGTTATTTATCTTATTCATAAATGACATTAAAGACTGTTTCAAACACTCTAAATTTCTTCTATACGCTGACAATTTAAAGGTCTTTAAAACCATTACTAGTGAACTGTTTGGAACTTCAACATGATCTTGACCGCTTTTCTAGATATTGCTCTGCTAACAAACTACATCTTAGCCTGCCTAAGTGCCATAGTATAACATTTACAAAAAAAAAAAAAATTGGCTTTAACTACAGACTGGATAACAGCGTCATCAATAAAGTTACGTGTCTCCGAGTCCTGGGTGTGTATCTTGACTCAAGACTTCATCTGGATGCACATGTGGAAAATATTATCAATAAGGCCTACCGAATGTTTGGATTCGTAATGACTCGCGACTTTCACCGTCCCTCCACTTTCGTATATTTATATAAATCTATAATCAGGTCACAATTGGAATACGCAGTACCTATCTGGAATCCGTACTATAAAAAATATAACGATGCTATAGAGTTGATCCAACGTAGGTACTTTCGTGCTATGCAATATAGATGTTTTAGTAAAAAAATATCGTACCAACAACTCCTTAAGAAATACGATATGTTGACATTGAAATCCAGACGTATTCTCCTTGACTCTATGACTCTTTTTAGTGTATGCCGCAACAAATTTGATTGCCCTGACTTGGTGAATTGTTTGTGCTACCTGGTTCCTCGAACAGTCCATGGGCGGGGTGTGCGAGCCAGACACCTATTTGCGACTAGACGCTGTAAAACGAATTCTGGTCTGCGTTCGCCTCTTTACCGTTTAGTTGACACATACAATAAGCATTTTAGTGCAATCGATATATTACATGTTAGTAGGATTAAATTTAAAAGAGACATAATAGCGGTACTAAAGAATCGGCAGTAGGCAATAAAAGTTAATTTTATAATATAATATATAATATATTCTACCGCATACACACAACGCCATCTAGTCCCAAACTAAGCAGAGCTTGTACTATGGGTACTAGACAACTGATATAAATACATATATACTTTTTTTTTGTAAATACATACATATTATACATAGAAACACCCAGACCACATCAAAATCAAATGTTCATGCACACAAATGTTTGACTTGAGCGGGAATCGAACCCGCGACCTTTGGAATAGCAGTCCGTTACACAAACCACTACGCCATCCAGTCGTCATTTTGATTTATCTATTGTATGTTTAAGTGAAACTTTATTTGTCTCAGTTACCAACGTTTTCTTTTGAGTAACCGCTTTTCTTATTGATTAAACTGCGGCGGCAGCAGCAGCTCATGTCAGCTAACATTGGAATTATTTTATAAGGTAATCTGTGGAAAATGTAGTGGGTAGTATATTAGTTAAGTTTAGTTACAAAGATTTCATATGTATACTCATTATACTATTGTTTGTTTTCCCAAATAAATAAATAAATAAATAAATTCCTGAAACAAACGTTTCAGACAAACAAATCATTCAGACCTTTATATTTATTATTGTATTTTCCTGCTTAGTCTAACAAGAAATTGACATTGAATTTATTTCGGGCTATAAATAAACAGTTACGTCTTGCATAAGCAATTTATTTATGAAAACAGCAGCCCATGCATGCATGCAGCGGTTAATCCTGATAGCTCTGGCATTTAAATTTACCTGTTAAGCGCGACACTATACGTTACGAAATAACGCTTCAACTAAGTGATTATGACTTATGATTTTTTTACGCCTTATTAAACACAAACCTAAGTGTCTGACAGCGTTTGTTATACTACAACCTACTACTACTACCAACATAGGTCCATATTTCAATGTGAATGTGTGGTAATTACTTACACCGCCACAACGGCCATGTCGATTGCTATTAGAGACTATAACATCTGAATACTGTCAAACAGCATGGCCGTCCGAAAGGTAGTGGAGGGCAACT